ACATAGATGCATGCATACTTATATAGATGTATGCATGCATGCTTACTTATGTAGATGCATGCATGCATGCATGCATATATAGACACATGCATGCATGCATACTTATATAGATGCATGCATGCATACATAGATGCATGCATGCATGCATGCGTGTACTCAGGTGTATGCAAATTCATCACCTGGTAATGTAAGCAACACAGTTGGGGTGTATACGCAGCTCAAAGAAAAAGCAGCAGTGTACATACACCTGAACAAAGGGAACGTGAATAGAGCTGAATATAAAAGGTGTATATACACCTGAATACAGGTGGATAGATGCTGAGGTGTACATACACCTCAATGCAGTGTCTATACACCTCAGGGGGTTTAACTTTATTCCAATTCTGCTGGGGCCGGCATTTCAATTTCATTTTCTCTTGGTGTTAATTGCTGCTCAGAAAAAAAAATAAAAAAAAAATAAAATAAAATTAAACAATTAAAAAAAAATTAAAAAAGCATATAGAACCGTTTCAGGTGTATGTACACCTCAAATAAACCAACCAAATACACAAACGACACAACGAAATAAATAAACTAACTAGTAAACAAATAAATAAATTAAATAAATAAATAAATAAATAAATAAAATAAAGAAATAAACAAATTAAATAAATAAGTAAATAAATTAAATAGATAAAATAAATAAATTAAATAAAATAAATAAATAAATAAATAAATAAATAAATAAATAAATCCTTTGGTCTCACCTCCAGCACTTTGAAAGTTTTCGGCGGACAGAAATCCCAGCAAAGCTACAAAACAAACAAAAAACAAAAACATTAAAATAAAAAAATAAATAATAAAAAAAAATAAAATAAAAAGAAATAAAAAAAATCAAAAAGATAATAAAACTCCTTGAAATCAGAGTATACACTCCATGTACATACACCACAACTTATTTCTTTTTTTCTTTTTTTTGCTTTTTCTGAATTTTCATTTGTTTTCATCTAACACTAATTCCACACAAATCCACTACAGCAGCAGCAAGAGCAGCAGCAGCAACAGCAGCAGCAACAGCAGCAGCAGCAGCAGCAGCAACAGCAGCACAAGCAGCAGCAACAGCAGCAGCACAAGCAGCAGCAACAGCATCGGAGAAAAACCAAAAACGAAACGCAGACGTAAACCATCTCCCTAAACAAAAAAAAAAGTAAAACTAAATAAAAACAACAAAAAACCTAAATAAAAAACAAAACTAAACTAAAATAAAATAAAATAAAATAAAATAAAATAAATACTTACTGCAGCAAGAACAGCAAAATCCGCAAGATTATCAAACAAAACAAAAATCCATTCATCCCAAGAAAGCAGCTGCTCGTAAATAGGAGACAAAAATGTAACTTTAAAAAATACAGAAA